TGTCCAAATACAACTCTAACTTTTAATACCATTTTCACTTTTTTCCCCCCCTAAATTTTACAATTCAGGAAATTTAATAAGAGCATTTAAATTTTAAACATCCTTTGTCACTAGGTTATGCAAGAGTAGTCAAAATCTATTTTTAATCAATCCAAGTAACATTTTATCCCATATAGAATATAATTTTTTGGTAAAGGATGTTCGGTTGACCACCTTTGGCCACATGTAGTTTCGTCCCTGCTTTTCGGTCAATTATCTTTTAGCTTCTTGCTAATAAATATATTTATAAAACTAATATATTCGTGTGGAGGAAAATAAAAATGATATATAAAGATAGAAGCAACAATTAGGTACATATGTCATCCATATAATAATGGTGCCTCGAAAAAAGGTTGAGATTTGTGTAATATTTGGCTCAAAAGTTATCAATACACTTTAGAAGCATAAAACAATCAAAATAAATGAGAATAAATCGTCGAAGTATTGTCTGTTGTGGTCGAGCTTTGTTGACGCCTTAATGTCGATGGCCTTAGCCATATATGTGACTTCAACTGTTGTCGAATTACTTATTTGTCGTAGTCGAGCTAGGTCGACGTTTAATGGCGATGGTCTTAGCAATATATATGACTTCTACTATTGTCGAATTACTTATTTGTCGTAGTCGATCTAGGTCGATGTTTAATGGCGATGGCCTTAGCCAATAGGACATGACTTCGACTATCGTCAAAGTGTTGTCCGTTGTCGTCGAGATTTGTCGACGCCTTAATGTCGATGGCCTTAGCCATATATGTGACTTCGACTGTTGTTGAATTACTTATTTGTCGTAGTCGAGCTAGGTCGACATTTAATGGCGATGGCCTTAGCCATATATGTGACTTCGACTATTGTCGAATTACTTATTTGTCGTAGTCGAGCTAGGTCGACATTTTATGGGGATAGCCTTAGCCAATGGGACATGACTTCGACTGTTGTCAAAGTGTTATACATTGTGGTCGAGCTTTGTCGACGCCTTAATGTCAATGGCCTTAGCCATATATGTGACTTCGACTATTATCGAATTACTTATTTGTCATAGTCGAGCTAGGTCGGCGTTTTATGGCGATGGCCTTAGCCATATATGTGACTTCGACTGTTGTCGAATTACTTATTTGTCGTAGTTGAGCTAGGTCGACGTTTTATGGCGATGGCCTTAGTCAATGGGACATGACTTCGATTGTCGTCAAAGTGTTGTCCGTTGTGGTCGATCTTTGTCGACACCTTAATGTCGATGGGCTTAGCCGTTTACACAGTGGAGATCATGGCCTTAGTCGTTTATACAATGGAGATCATGGCCTTAGCCGTTTATACAATGGAGATCGTGGCCTTGGCCGTTTATACAATGGAGATCATACTAGTCCAGTCCCTTTATCATGTCGACCTAGAGAGCGTGTCGAGTGGCTGATATGATAAACTTGTTCCTCTGATATCTCCAGGTGTCCCCTCCGCCGCCTCATTAAAAACCTCCCCGAGAAAATCCAATTGGCACAAAACTCGGGTAAGGGAAAAAGCATACGACTCGGGAGACGCCTTTCAGAAATGGAAATACTTGAGGTGGGCGATGTTCAAGTTGTTTTGAAGCGTCTTTCCTTCCATTGTTTCCAACTGGAATGCTCCTTTACTTGCTGCTGCTGTAATTTTGTAGGGTCTGTCCCAGTTGGTGCCAGTTTTCCTTCGCTCGGGTCCTTTGATGCCAATGTTTTGGCTTTGAGGACGTAGTCTCCCACTTTGAGTGGTCTTATTTTGGCTTTCTTGTTGTAGTATCTTTCGACCTGTTATTTTTGAGCTGCCATTCTTATGTAGGCCATGTCCCCTCTTTCCCTGGCCTCGTCGAGGTCTTGAAGTCTATTCGTGCGTTCTCTGCTCCGCTGGTATGTGAATACCTCAGGCTTGGTTCTCCGACTTCGACGGGTATGACCGCGTCGGTTCCATAGACCAGCGAGTACGGTGTTTCTCTCGTGCTGGATTTGGACGTGGTCTGGTGTGCCCACAACTTCTGGTAGTAGCTCGGGCCATTTCCCTTTAGATCCCTCGAGTTTCTTTTTCAGTATGTTCAGTATTGTTTTGTTAGAAGACTCTGCTTGGCCATTTGCGGCGGGGTAATATGGCGTGGAGAGTATTCGCTTAATGTTCCATTTCTCGAAGAACTCTATCGTCTTTTTGCCGATGAATTGTGGGACGTTGTCGGAGCAGATTTTTTACGGATGCCAAAACGGCATATGATGTTTTTCCATATGAAGGCGATGACTTCCTGTTTACGTATTTGGGCGTACGCACCTGCTTCCACCCACTTGGAAAAATAGTCAGTTAAAACTAATAAAAATTGTACCTTTCCTTGTCCCGCTGGTAGGGTACCGATTATGTCCATTCCCCAGTTGATGAAAGGCCATGGAGAGGCGACTGAGTGTAGAGGTTCTCCTGGTTGGTGTATCATGGGCGCATACTTTTGGCATTGTTCGCACCGGTGAACGTATTCTGCTGCCTCTTTCTTCATAGTGGGCCAGTAATAGCCGGCCCAGATGATGCAGCACACGAGGGCGCGGTTACCTGTATGGGTGCTGCAGTGACTCTCGTGTACCTCTTCGAGCACTGGTCTCGTTTGGTGCGGCCCTAGGCACTTGGCTAGGGGTCCGCCAAATGTCCTTTTGTAGAGGCCGTGATTTATCAGGCAATACCGGGTGGTTTGTACGCGGAGCTTCTTTGCTTCTTTTTTTCGAGTGGGAGTGTCCCATCCTGCAGATAAGATACAAATTGATTGCGTCAGTCCCAAGTCAGTTTTAAAGAGAATACCTCAGTGTGATCAAGGGCTGAATGGAGGAGGGTGACCACACTTTCTTTGCTGATATTTTTAGTGGCCGCGACCAGTTTTGCTAAGCCGTCTGCTTCGACATTCTGTGCCCTCGGGATTTGTTCGAAGCGGCACTCGTCGAACTCATTCATTAATCTGTGGATTTCTGATTGGTATTTTTGCAATCTCTGCTCCTTGATTTGGTATGTCCTAGTGACCTGGTTCAATACGAGTTGGGAGTCGCAACGGAGAACGAGTCGTCTAGCCCCATATTTGATGGCTAACTTCATAGTTGCAATCACAGCTTTGTACTCGGCCTCGTTGTTAGTCATTTCGAGGCATCGTATGGACTGGCGAATTATTTCTCCCATGGAGACCTCGAGGACGAGTCCCAATCCCGATCCGGAGGCATTAGCGGCGCCGTCAGTATAAAGAGTCCATAGGTCGGCATTGGAGGAGGCACGATGTGCCTCCACTTCCGCCTCTAGCAGTATCTTTGCACTGAAATCGGCTACGAAGTCGGCAAGTACCTGCAACTTGATGGCGGTTCTTGGGTGATAGGAGATATCATGCTCGCTGAGCTCTATGGTCCATCTAGCAAGCCTACCAGATAATTCAGGCTTGTGTAGGACGCTTCTCAGGGGGAAGGTCGTTACTACTTTTATGGGGTGACACTGAAAATAGGGTCGAAGCTTCCGTGAAGCTACGACCAATGCCAAAGCTAACTTCTCGAGGTGTGGATACTGTGTTTCGGCGTCCACTAGGGTTTTACTGATATAATAAATGGGAGATTGCGTATCTTCATTTTCACAAAGCAAGCCTGCGCCGACAGCGACTTCGGATACTGCTAGATATACAAGCAGGGTTTCGCCTAGGCTTGCTTTGACCGGCAGTGGTGGCGAAGATAGGTATGCTTTTAAGTTCCTCAAGGCGTCTACGCATTCCTCGTTCCACTATTATCCGTGATCTTTTCTCAACACGTTGAAAAATTTATAGCACTTGTCGGAGGATCGTGAGATGAACCTGGACAGGGCGGCTATTCGCCCTGTCAGCTTTTGCACCTAGTTTTTGCTGTTCAAAATCTTAGGTATTGTGTTTATCGCCTTGATCTAATCCGGGTTGACCTCGATGCCTCATTGTGATACGAGGAAACCTAAGAACTTCCCTGAGGCCACGCCGAAGGCGCATTTTTCCGGGTTCAGCTTCATCCCGTACCTTCTCAATATCTCGAAGGCTTCCTTCAGATGGTCGATGTGGTCTTCTTTCTTTGTCGACGACTTCCATGGTCTTGCCAAGCTGCTCTTTGAACATTTTGGTGACCAGTCTCTAGTACGTAGCCCCACGTGTTTGAGCCCGAAGGGCATTACCTTGTAGCAATATGTCCCTTGGTTGGTGATGAAAGTCATTTTCTCTTGGTCCTCCTCGGCCATCTTGATTTGATTGTAGCCGGAGTAGGTATCTAAGAAGCTCAACAATTCATGTCCTGCGGTGGCGTCGATCAGTTGGTCGATGTAGGGGCAATGGGAATGAATCCTTTGGGCATGCCTTGTTCAGGTCGGTGAAATCCATGCATATTCTCCACTTCTCGTTTTTCTTTTTTGACCATGACGACATTGGCGACCCATTGGGGGTAGTTTGATTCTCTGATGGAGCCGTTGGCCAGTAACTTGTTCACTTCTTCATTGGCCACTTCATTGATTGCGGCATTGAATTTTCTTCTCATCTGCCGCACGAGCGGATGTAATGGGTCGACATTCAGCTTGTGAGTGGCGATGTCTTGCGGGATTCTTGGGATATCTTAATGGGAAAAAGCAAATAAATCTGCATGGTTAGTTAAGAATTCATGGTACTTACTTGGGTTGTCGAGGCCGTGCCCGATGTAGGATTTCTTTGTAAGGTCGATACCGTCCAATTGGACTGGGTCGAGATCCTCGACTGTCGCTTTACATGCCTCCACAGCGTCGAGGTCTCTAATGGCGTCTGCTGTCGAGTTGACCTTAGTCCCCGACACAGCTGATTGCTATGCATCTGTACTCGCCCCGTTCAGCTGTTTGGTGTAGTCGCAATCTTGAGTTATTTTGTAGCATTCTTGTGCGGTATACGGCTCGCCTCGAATGCTAAATATTCCCCATGGGGTAGGGAATTTGATCACTTGGTAGAAGCTTGAAGGGACCGCTCACATGGCATGTATCCAAGGGCGTCCTATGATGGCATTGTAAGCTATCTCCTGGTTCATCACGTGGAAAGTTGTTTCCAGCGTGACTCCTCCAGCTAAAACAGGCAATGATATCTCCCCGGAGGTCCGTTCCACTACATTATTGAAATCTAGTAGTGTTATGCAATGCGGTATTATCTTATCTTCGAGTCTTATTTGCACGAGGACCCTCGGATGGATAATACAGGTGCCACTTCCATCGTCAACCATGATTCTTTTAACATCAGTATCAGCGGCCCGTAAAGTTATAACCAAAGCATCATAATGAGGGAAAGACAAACCGTCGACATCAGACTTATCGAAGGTGATACTATCTTCGAAGTCGTCATACCGTTCATGGGCAATTGTTCGCTTTAATTTGTGCGTGGTGGTGAACTTGATGTGATTGATTGCTGAGTCATCGCCACTTCCAACAATCATGTTTATGGTGCGTGCTGGGGAAGGTGGCTTCGGCGGCACCTGTGGTTGTTCCCGCCCGCGTATGAAGTTGGTTTTCCCTTTGTCGCTGAGTAGTTCCTTCAGGTATCCTTGATTCAGCATCCTGACCACCTCTTGCCGTAGGCCTATGCAGTCCTCAGTTTTGTGTCCTTGTTCCTGATAGAACTCACATAGGACGTTTGACTTCCTTGTGGTAGGGTCTGATTTCTTCTTCTGCGGCCACTGCACCTTGGTACCCAGCTTCTCCAATGCGTACACTATTTCTGAATGAGACACGCAAAAGTTATGGGCAGATAATAAAGGAGGCATACCTCTTTCATTTCGGAGTGGAGAGACATGTCGCTGTAGTGTATCCGTGTGCCTTGGTGGTGGTGGCGGATGGGAAGATCTGACGTAAGGTTGGTTTTTTTTTGTTGAAACGTGGGATTTGCTCCTGCCGCCCCTCATTGCGTCGATTTCTCCTTGTTTCTGAGTGTATCGTTGTTAGCCTTTGGGTTGGCCCGTTAAGGTCGTCCTTGCCCGCTCGAACCTTAGCACAGTAAGCGTTGTGGATTTCCTCCCATATGGTAGGGGGATATTTCATGAGGCGGCTTAGTAGCTTTTTAGTCGCCCTCGAACCATCTCTGTTTAGACCATTATGGAAAGCGGTGACTGCCATACCTTCCGATACATTTGGCAGACTCATCCTTACCCTGTTGAACCTAGCTAGGATGTCCCTGAGTTCTTCTCCTGCGGTTTGCCTGATGACGAAAATATCGTTGACTCTTGCTTCCGCTTTCTTTGCTCCTGCATGGGCGATGATGAACTTATCCGCCATTTCCTCAAACGTTGATATCGTCTTAGCTGGCAGCTGAGAGTATCACGTTAGGGCCCCTCCTGTCAACATGTCACCAAATTTCTTCAGCAACACGGATGGTACTTGTTCTTTCGATAGATCATTTCCCTTCACAGCAGTTACATAGTGAATCAGATGGTCCTCGGGATCTGTGGTCCCGTCGTATATCCTTAAGTAAGGTGGCATTTTGAAGGTTTTTGGGATAGAGTGAGGGGCAGCTTCTTCGGTGTACAATTGTTCAACGAACCTTTCCACGTCGCATTTCGGTAGCAACTTGGGAGCACCGGGGATCTTGTCTACTCTCTCCTGATGTTCTTTCATTTGGTCACGAAGTGCCTTGTTTTCATTCTCCATTTCTTCCATCTTCTTAAGGATGGCTGTGAGTGTGCTATCGTTGGTCTGTACATCAACGGGGATGTTATTTACTCGTATAACCACAAGTTCCCCTGTGGTAGCAGTGATGCCTACCGTTGATGTACGCCTAATGTTACTTTGTGGTGACTTCTCGATCAAGCCACTTAGAGTACTTGTCAGCCACTCTTCCAGTAGCTTCTTGACTACCGGGGGTGTTTCCTTAGCCGTAGATGTTGAAGCTCCTTTTTCATGCAAGATCGTCAGATCTTCAGATGAGGAGGGTGATATTTCTCCATCGGGTGTAATACTGGGTGTTGTGTTCAAAATGCCCTCTTCACCGGCCTCATTACGAGGACCTATGAGATTGGTTGCAACACCTGCTATTGCTTTCATTCTTGCGTTATTTTCTGCCATCTTTTGCTTCTGTGTGGTGTAAAAAGTGGTAGTTGGTTGTTCTCTAGGTGCAAACTATGATTTTGATTCTCGAAATCCCCACAGATGGCGTTAAATTGTTTGGCTCAAAAGTTATCAATACACTTTACAAGCATAAAACAATCAAAATAAATGAGGGTAAATCGTAATCAAATATAATGAGACCTAGAGATGAGAATAATATTGTTCAAGTAGATCTGTTATTATAGAGAAAGATAATATGAGCTAGAGAGAGAGTATTCTTTCAGAGATAGAGAAAGAATAAAAGAGTTCGATTATCGAGAATCATGATCGATCCTTTACAATATGAGTGTCTCCTTTATATAGTAAGAGACCCTCCTCGAAACAATCAAAAAGTACAAAAATGGGTAATATCCCTTTACTTGAGGACGCTGAGACTCGAATTGCGTCGTTCCTATCCCCACGCCCAAGCCGTACTCTTACTTTAGCCGACGTACGCCCTTTCGCCGTAACTGCCAACGTAGAAGTGTCGAGGGTCAAATTTGACCCTATACATGTAACATGTAAATAATGAAGACAAATACATGGAGACATGGAGTAGTATTTATAAGGAGAGAAAACTGGTCAAAGTAAAAAGAGAAAGTAGCGAGTTCCATCCCTGAATTATTACCTTGTTTCGATTTTAGTCCCTAGTAAATTGATTAAGCATATTTAACCTTGAATTACTAAAAGTAGCAATCTTAATCCAATATATATA